GGGGATGAGTGGGGTGAGGGGGTGAGTGGGGTGAGGGGGTGAGGGGGTGAGTGGGGTGACGGGGTGAGTGGGGTGAGGGGGTGAGTAGGGTGAGTGGGGTGAGGCCTTGAGCTTTTGCCGAGCGAGATGCAGGGTGATGGCAGGGTTTTGTTTTGTTTTGTTTTTGAGAGGGAGTCTTGCTCTGTTACCCAGGTTCAAGTGTAATAGCATGATCTTGGCTCACTGCAACCTCCACCTCCCAGGTTCAAGCAATTTCCCTGCCTCAGCCTCCTAAGTAGCTGGGTCTACAGGTGTGTACCACCATACCCGGCTATTTTTTTTTTTTTTTTTTTTTGGTAGAGGCGGGGGTTTCACCATGTTGGCCAGGCTGGTCTCGAACTCCTGACCTCAGGTGATCTACCTGCTTCAGCCTCCCCAGGTGCTGGGATTACAGGCGTGAGCCACCGCACCTGGCCAGATGGGAGGGTTTTCACACCAGTTGCTGGGTTAAGAAGAGACTGCAGGGGGTGCAGGGGAGAGAGCAGGTGAGCGGCGGCTGCAGGAATCCAGGGGAGATCATGGAGCTGGGACCAAGGTGGTGACATTGTGGCCAGTGAGACTTGTCCCATCCTGCTTATGTCCTGAGGGCAGAGCTGATGGATTTGCCAAGGACCAGGTGTGAAGGGTGGGAGAGAGGGGCCAAGAATGACTCCCAGGTGCCGGCCCCAGCAGCCTGAAGCTCCTCTGAGATGGGGGGGCAGGAGGGACTGTCCTGGCAGAGACTGTGTGAAGCGTGAGACACCCGCAGCCATGCAGTGGGCCTCGGGGTAAAGACAGAGCCAGGGGCAGGTGAGGCCAGCCGTGGAGGCAGACCTGGGCCTGGGCCTTCAGTGATCAGTCAGAAGAGAAGCAAGTCTGGAGCAGAGACCAGGGAGCAGCCAGACCGGCGGGAGTGAGGTCCCGGGAGCCTCCTTCGGCAAGGGTGTGGCCAATGTGTCCTGTGGTTCTGAGGTCCGGGTGATGACGGGGACCATCCCCGGGATCTGGCCACGGAAGGTGACTACTGACCTGGCGCTCCAGAGAAGCAAAGGGGTGGGAGCCGGATTGGAAAGGATCTGAGAGGACAGTAGTAAGCCGTGGATGCTGAGCGTGGCCTTTAGAGTGGACCCCAGGAGGGCTCAAGCAGACCTGACTTGAAACCTGCTCCCTTCCCTGCAAACTGTGCTCCCCAGGGCTGGCCATGAAGCAGGATCATGTGGCAGCCCTGCATGCCCCCCACCTCTGTCCCCTGGGGCACCAAACCCCACTTTGGCATTAGACCCCAGCCTCTGGCCGCAGCTGACTGCCCAGGGGTCAGCCGTGACCCACTTGGCCATCAGAGCCCCCCCGTGCAATGCCAGGAGCTAGGACACAGCGGGGCAGATTCCCCGGTGTCCGGTCCCCAGCCTCCCGTAAGACAAGGCGAGAGCTCAGCGTGGCTGCAGGAGCACATGTGCCCACTGCCAGGGCAGAGACGGTGGTGATGTTGCCGGGCCAAGAGGCAGGACACTCGAGGGAGCAGAGGACACCACCTTGGGCTCTGCACAGCGATGGGCCTGCTGCAGTTTTCAGACTTTCCATCCTCGATCCTGGCCCTAAAGGGTCACCTGCTGCCTCTGAGGGCTGGGAATGGGAGTGAGTGAAGGGCACTGAGCTCTCTCCTGCTTCTCTCCTTCCATCCCTCCCTCCTTGGGGTGGGGCAGGATCCTGATTTCCGGCTTCTCCAACACCCACCTGGCTGCCCCGGGCGCTCCCAGGGGCCTCTCCACAGGCAAGGACACCAAAACCACAGGGCTTTGAAATCATCGATCGACTTTAATGCATCGTAAAGAAGGAAAAACTACATCGGCATTATTTAAGACAAACACTTTTTCTCTATCCTCACTACCCACTGGACAGTCCTCCTTGGTCCAAAAAAAAAACCTAACAATCTCAAGACACGTTGGCAGCTACCCCTCCCGGGTCCAATCTTTCATATCCTCCCATTACACTGTTAAAACATTTAACATTCTCAATCCATCCGAGAAGAAAACCAAACCGAACAGAAAAGGAAGCTGAAGACATGGACATCGCAAGCCACGCGGTAATGCACACTTGGCACGGCGTAGCCAACATAGAAGATAGAAGACGTGTGCCTCACACGGTTCACTTTGTTCATCCATAAAAGAATATAAAAATCTTGTTCACCCAGTGTGAAGTGTATTAAAATAGATCTGTATCATACAGCACAGTTTCTCCCGGAGTCGTGAGAATGACAGGAGGGACCTGGCGTCTGTGGGCTGTGCCAGCCTCCTCGCTCTGCACCTCTGCGTGTGTGCATGCTCGTCTGTGGTCATGGCCGCGTGCGATGCACACACGCGTGTTCAGTGCAATTCGGCACCATGTGATATGCTCGGGGTGGGAGCCCGTGGCTCCTGGATGCATATCCTGTTGTGCTCAGTCCCTCAGGGCCGGGACGTGGGCATTGGGCGAGGGTGATAAGCTGGCACTGCCCACCCTGGATGCAGGAGCCCTTGGCAGCAGGAGTAGGGGACTCTGGTCCCCGAAGGCCAGAACCTCCCCAGGCCACCGCCCTTTCTTCCCTCCCCCGTCCTCCATTCAGTTCTTAAAAAACCCGCTGTATCTTCCAGTTTGGCCAGGCTGCCCGAGGGGAGGTGTTCCCATTTGTACCTTGAAGCAGAGACTACTAGAAGTCAGCCCGAGTCCCCTCCCTACCGTTCACATTAAATATCTCACAATAAAAATACCATACAAAAGTGTGAAGTTATTTTTTGGCATAGTGTCTGTACTGGCAAAAAAGAAGAGTGGAAAACTTATTGGCTCTTCCAAAGGAGGCAAGAAAAGGCTTCAGCTGTAAGTTGAATGATTCAACCCCAAAGAGAAATCCTGCCCAATGCCCCCACCCTGCACGGCTGCGGCTCCACCCTGCCCAGAAACTCCATGAGAAAAACGGATCAATAGCAAACGGAGTCCAAGAGATTGGCAAAAGAAAGAAGCCAGCCTTGAGGGCCCCAAAGACGGAGCAGGAGGGGCAGAGGCCCTGGTGGGGACCACTGCAGCGTCCTGGCACCCAGACACGCGTGCCCCGGACAATGTCTTTCAAGTGAAACAGCTGCAATTCGTAACCCTAATAATACTGACAGAAAGGGGCCCGCGCGGTTCTGCAAAGGTGAGGGGGTGCCCTAGGCCCGCCGGCCGCAGGTGGGCCTCCTAGGAGTGTGGGGCATCAGGGAACTACCTAGACCCGCTACCCGCTTCTCGTCCCAACTACCTCTACCACTCAGCTATGTCCGTGCGTTCTCAGCTCCCCTCCCACAGGACACCAAGAGGCGCTGCCCTCAGCGGGGACCGTGTGCTGGGCAGTGTGCTTGTCCCCTCCGACAGGCCAGAGGGAGGCTGTGGAGAGCAGGGCCTGGAAGCTGGAGGCTCAGGCGGCCCTGAGGTGGCCGGGGGTGGGGCTGACTGTGTGGCCCGGCCTGTCATACCCCCACCTGGCCCTTAGATGACCCCTGTAAATGCAGAGGGCACAGGGCCACATCCCCACCTGGTCCTGGCTCTGGGCCTCTGGCCCAGCTCTTTCCACCTCCTCTCCTCTGTGTGGTTAATTTTTGTCTGAAATTCATAGTGTTCATGAGTTAAGGCCGACAGAACCCCCAGGCTGTGTAAGCAGGCTCCCAATAACTTTCCGTGGGTGTGAAGACGGGTCCCTCGGGGTCAGTTGTGGCCCTGTGGGTGCTGGAGGGTGGGGTGTGTGGCTGCCACTGAGGGCTTGGTCCAGGGCCTGGCCAGCAGTGGGGCGGGGTTAGTGGTCGTCATGGTGACCTGCAGCAGCTGCTCGCCCTGTATCAGTCTCAGGAGGGCCCGCAGGCGGTCCAGGGATGACTGGGTCCCCCTCTGGCGGGCCAGCAGGCTTGTCTTCAACTCCAGGCATTTCTGTTGGGGAGAAGGTCAGGGGAAAGGGTCTTAGCATTCTGCTCTGCAGCCATCCTGGGGCAGCCACCACCCGGGCCCCTCTCCCCTCCACTGCCGAGGCCTGCAAGAAACCAGACTGAGGGCCTCACTAAAACCAGGCAGCGGTGCAAATGCAATTACAAAGCAGGAGACGATACTTGTCTTGGAATTTAGGGCTAGAAAAAGTGTGCCTGTGCCTGGGAACATCCTCCCCAGGGCTGTGATGCGACCTCCTCCTCCCCGCTAGCTGCCCACACTCCTCCTCCTGCCGGTCAACCCGCAGTAGCCTCGGAGACCTTCGGCTTCCCAGCCGCCTTTCTGCTCTTTCTCTTGCCCGCTGTGCTGTGTGGTCTTTTCCAGTCTCTCTACGTACCACGACAAGGAAAAGCAATAAGGACTGATGCCTTGGGTCCCACATCAGTCTGCTCTGGGTCAAATACTGCTTGGGCAAACAACAACTTCCCTCAGACTGCTTCTAAAGTGATTATAGGGACAACCACAAAGCCTCTCCATAGCATTATTGAAAGGATTAAATGAGACACTGCCTTTAAAAAGCTTCACCAGGGCCTGTTACCATCACCATCCTCCATCACATCTTCACCACCATCATCACCATTATCATCACTACCACCACTATCACTGTGATCCGCACCATCACCATCATCATCAGCATTACCACCATCACCACCATGATCACCATCATCACCACCACCATCTCTGGGATCACCATCATCACCACCAGTATCACTGTGATCAGCACCATCACCACCATCACCACCACGATCACCATCATCACCACCACCATCTCTGTGATCAGCACCATCACCACCACTATTACTGTGATCATCACCACCACCATCTCTGTGATCACCATCATCACCACCACTATCACTGTGATCAGCACCATCACCATCACCACCACCATGATCACCATGATCACCACCACCAACTCTGGGATCAGCAACATCACCACCCCCATCATTATTACAATCACCACCATCACCACCACGATCACCATCACCACCACCATCACCACCACTACCATCACTGTGATCAGCAGCATCACTACCACCATCACCACCACCATCACCAACATCATCACCACAATCACCATCACCACAATCACCATCACCACCATCATCATTACCACCATGACCATCATATAATCACCACCATCATCATCACATCACCACTGCCACCATCATTGTGATCAGCACTATCATTACCATCACCACCATCACAACCACCACCCTCATCACTACCATCACCATCACCACCACCCTCATCATCACTACCATCACCATCACCATCACCACCACCCTCATCATCATCACTACCATCACCA